GTCGACACCACCCGCCTCGAACACCTCTTTGAGTCCAAGGCCAAGGAGCTGACCATCGCTAAGGTAACAGGATCCCTGCTGAAATGGTTAGGAGTGAGGAGACAGGACACTGACGTCCACATGTTTGGTTTCTCTGTAGAAAGGACCCGAGATCAAGAAGACTGAGATTCTGGTTCTGGACCCCAAGAGAAGCAACGCAATCAACATCGGAATGACGGTGCTGCCGGCCGTCCACGTCATCAAGACTGCGATCTTAAACTTTGACGAGTTTGCCATCAGCAAGGAGGGCATTGAGGTAAGAGTCTTTGTCCAATCAGAAGTCAGGATTAGAGATGAACACTGACTCCTTTACCTCCTCTGTCCTGAGCAGAAGATCCTGACTATGACACCAACAGAGGAAGAGAAGCAGAAGATTCAAGAGGCACAGCTCACAGACCCGGACCTCCCACTTGGGCCGGCTGAGCAGTTCCTCTTCACCTTGGCCTCCATCAGTGCCTTGACCCCCCGTCTGCAGCTGTGGGCCTTCAAGCTCAACTACGAGGCGCTGGAGAAGGTAGGTCACGTGTCGGTGAACATCAGAGACATGCTCGAAAAACACACTCCATGATATTGGTTACAAATGACTCCTGTGACCTCACGCAGGAGATCGCAGAACCACTGTTCGATCTAAAGCTTGGAATGGAGCAACTGGCATCGAATCAGACGTTTAAGAGGATCCTCGCCACGTTACTCGCTATTGGGAATTTCCTGAACAGCTCTAACGTAAGAATCACCGAATGATGACTGCTATCTATATTAACATATATATGTAAATATATATATGTGTGTGAGTTTGTGTATATATACATATAGGATGTATAATTTGTATATATACACATATATTTATGTATGTATATATGTATGTGTGTGTACATATATCTATATATGTACATGTAGACATATACATATATATAATGTATAAATTGTCAGAACAGTGTTTCTGTGGGCTTGTCACCAGGCTAAGGGCTTCGAGCTGGGCTACCTGGAGAAGGTGGTGGAAGTCAAAGACACAGTCCACCGTCAGTCTCTGCTCCACCACACCTGCAGCCTTGTCATGGAAAATTATGCGGAATCCTCAGACCTTTATTCCGAGATTCCTGCCATCAGTCGCTCAGCCAAGGTACCGCCCTCTTCCCCTAAGTGTGTACCTCCGTGTGGGTCAGTGTGACCATGTGGGTCGTGTGTTTCTAGGTGGACTTTGAGCTCCTGTCCGAGAACCTGGTCCAGCTAGAGAGACGCTGCAAAGCATCATGGGACAACTTGAAGGTGGTGACCAAGCATGAGGCAAAGGTGGCGCTGAAGAACAAAATGACAGAGTTCCTGAAGGACTGCACGCAGAGGATCGTCATCCTGAAGGTGGTGCACAGGAGGATCATCAACAGGTGAGGCCTCATGGGAAAAAATACTACACACAGAATCACAATGTGTACAAGGGTAATTGACATTGGTTTTGTAGTATTTCACCCATCCATAAATACACACAATACAACTACACAACTAAGTCACGTTCACAATTCAAAAACAATTGGGAACCATTGTTCTAAGGTAATCACCAAGTCACGTTCACAATTCACAATATTACCTTCGAAAATACCCTGTTTAGTTGAACACGGTGCTGATATATATATATATATATATATAGTTTTCAGACCTCATAATTTCTTATGACACAGTAATGTGTCGCCGCACAGTGTTTGGGAACCATTGTTCTAAGGTAATCAACAGATTTTTTGTTGGCTGTGCCTCTGTATCCCAGGTTCCACTCATTCCTGC